GCATATTTCCCCTTTTTTGGTTTCCAGTACTTGTTTACTCTTAAAGTACAAAAGTTTTCACTAATGACTGCACAGGGTATCAGTTTTATTAGTGTTTTCTAGGGGTCTGTGAACTAACGGAAATGTACTACTATTAACCCCTTTGTGACGTACAGTGTACGTCCCGGCACTTTGTGCCTATATGACTGGCCATGTACACTGTACGTGACGAGTTATATCAGGCTTTGTAATGCCGGTAACCGCTGATTCTCAGCAGTTACCAGTCATTAATGAATGCCTCAGTATTGAGGCATTAATTAATGAAATAATTTAAGATTTTTGTAAAAGCTTCTTCCTTTCATTAATGAAAGAATGAAGCCGTTACATGCAAATACAGGACCACAATTTGCGATCCTGTAGTCCTTATTTTTTTATTTTATGCAAACTAAGTGAGGGGTTAGGTACACATATGTGATATAATTATATAGCCCTATCTGTCCTCTAAAAAACTATATATAATATGTGTGGCTACATTTAGTAAGAAAGTATATTACTGCTGTGGAAGAATCACACAGCAAAAATGTAAAAAGTGTGTTAGTCATTTATGATCAGAAACTGAAAACTAGCTCAGTCATGAAGGGGTTAAAATGAGAACGATGGTGGAAGGAGAAGCTGATGCACCCCTTCAAGGTCCACCTGGAATGACAAAAGGGGATCTGAAAGAGTTTTTCACAGCTGAACATCATCCATACAATGGAGGGAAATTTCCTTTTGGTAAACTGAAGCAGGACAGAGGGATAGAAGAAACATATCCTGGTTGAGGTGAAATATAAAAACTACCTTCGGTAAGAAGGAAGTCCTGGGCCTCATTAAAAACGTCTTACTGTGCAAAATCAGAAAAAGTTCCTTGAAGGAAAAGGCAGCCAGTTCAGCACTTGTCTCGTAGCACGGGTGATTGCTACAAGAAACACCATCTTGTGGGTGAGAATAGTAGGTTTAACCCCTTCGTGACTGACGACGTACAGTGTACG